CCTCGTCAAAAAAACCACGCGGGCCACTCTCGCGCGTCGGCCGCGCGCGCATGTCGAACTCCCTCCAAAACCTTCATCACCGACGCGGGCACCGTCATCGTCTTCGGCCTGATCAGCATCGGCGCCGTCACTGACTTTGCCGTCGTCGTTGTCACTATCGTCGCCAACATCGCTACCATCATCGTCGCATCTACCGTTGTCGGCGTTGCCATGATACCGCGCCCGCCCAAGTCACCGACTCGCACTGAAGTGCCCCTCTGGGAAATACCCAGCGGTGATCGCCACCGCGGCCGCGTCGGTCGCGCCAAACTAGCTGGCCGCTGCGCGCGCGAGCATGCGCGGGCTAGCGCGGCCGCAGACATGCAACACACAACGCCAAACACTCATCGACATCGCCGAAGCATGGGTTTTTGCAATCCGAATTGAAGATGGATGGGTGGGATGGTGGCGTGAGAAATGGAGTGGGCAACGCACTGCAAGCAAACACTAACTGCATCACATGGACTGCACCGCGTGCGTTGCACCATACATAAATATGTATACATATATATATACATATATGTCAATCTATAGATATAAGTATCGGTTGTACATGTATTGCCCCACATACACTGCACCACACACATGGCACAACGTACAATACACTGCATACATTGCACACCAGGTATTGCACATCGTAGATGGCACGGCGTATTGCACAACAATTCTTGCGGCACGTCGGCTGCGCCTTATTCGTTCCCCCCACCGAAATTGCACCACCTAGGTTGCCCCACGTTGATAGCAGCGCACCTCTTGCTGAACGCATGATGTTTGGGGCCCACGCTAGCTGACATGTGTTGGTCGATTTTCGAATTGCCGCCTTGTCGGCCTTCAGAACAACCAAGATGGCCAAAGAGGCGCTCAACATCGCCCACAAGCGGCCCAAAAACTTCCGAAAAGGTTCCATATCGCCCCCTAGACGGCACGAGGCGCACACCCTGAGCCTTCGACGGCAGGGCGCGCCCGACGAAGACGGAATCCTCGTGAAACCGTCGCGGGGCCAAGCAGGAAATCTGCGAATTCACCTGGCGTCGTCGAACTTGCACCGTCGCCCCCCATGGAACCAGTGCAAAACCAAGCAAAAGACTTGTAAGCTCATGTGGTTTCGCCGACTTGCTTCGTCGGAACCATCATCGGACACACAGGAATCCGTGAAGAAATCTTGGGGAACCCTCAGGCACCCTCACGAATCTTTCAAGAGACGGCAGCAAACCTGAAATAATCCGTAGTCAGGGGTCCTTCGTGAACCATGCAGCAATCCTTTGGATTCTTCATTCAGAATGACGAAGGAATCCTCTGGAACCCTAAAAGCACCGACGGATCTCTCAGGAATCCCAGGGAATCAGTGTCAGGAATCTCCATACACCCTTCAGCAGCTTCATGGATGGCGGGTCCTTTTCAAAAGTGTGCCTCTCGCCTTAGCGCCGCGCACATTCGTTAGCCCGAGCGCGCTCTGATCCATTTGCGTGCCAATCTCCTTCTTGGGGGCCACACCGCGACTCCCGCTCTGTGGTCCCAACGATACGCTTGCGCCGAATCCCCTCCTTATGCGAGCTGTTGCGTCTGGCCGATGTCTGCCACGGGAGCCGGAACGCAGCCCACGCCCGGGTCGGCCAGAGTGAGCTCTCGCTTCGAGCAGAAGCCACGGGCGTCGCATCGCAGGCGGCACGAGGGCGGGCCAAAACAGCGCATCAGAGTCGAGCTGACTACTCTCGACTGCCCGCGCTGCTTTCAATCCCCACGACCGATGATTGGCAATAAAAGGACCCCTAACACTGTGGGAAGGGACCTGATTTAGGAGGGCCAGGAACATTAGGGATAGGGGATCCTGTGTGCAGATGTATCGAACCAAACTGCCCAGACTTATTACCCCTGATGCAAAGACGGGGACCTCAGTGAGGCCACGCCTGCATCGTGTTCTTACGGTCAGGGGCTCTTCTGTGCTCGATGACCCGATCCTCGTCGTAGTCCCCATCCAGCGCCTCGTCGTCTGGCGGGGGCCGCCAGTTGCCGAAGACGGGCGTGAACAGAAGCAGCGCGTGGTCAGTGAGCACGAGAAGCACCAGACTCAGGTCGTAGCGGGCCCTCTTGAGCACGAGGGTGCGGGTGGTGCTGCCGAGCTGCAGCCTCCGGCGACACGCAAGAGTGAGTGGCCCTGGGCCCTGGGCAGGAGTGACCTCTTGTGCGCGGATGCAGGGCGCGCAGGGTAGCCAAATCCAAGCGCGCAAGCCATCGCTGCCGCGCCGCGCTCCGCGGTCGGGGGCACCCACGTGAGCCCGCACCAAAGGTCACTCCGGCGAAAGGTCGCTCTGACGTCCAGCCGAAGCCTCTGCATCGCAGCGCGCATGGCGCTGTCGGCCTGGAGGGGCACCCGGTGCTTGTACGTGCCTCCGGGGGGCTGCGACAACGCGTGCAGGGAGCCGAGCATCCTCGGGCGGTCGCCCTCGTTGTGGCACACGAGAGTGAGGAACTCCTCCTCGAGCTTCCCAGAGCCCGCGGGGTTGCACGCCCAGCCGACGTACAGGGCCGAGGGCACGAAGGCCCTGACGAGCCGCGTCATGTCCGAGTAGGGGTAGAAGAGCACGATGTGCGGCGCCCTGGGGTAGTCTCCGACCGTCAGGTCCAGGATGTAGAGCCCCCTGTTCGTGAGCATACAGGCCATGCAGGCAGTCTCGTGGCTCGGGTCCTGGGTGGTCACATCCGAACCCATACCCCCCACCAACCACCGATTCTCCTGCATCGATGGGGGGCGGGGGCATGGGGCTCGGATTCCGCCGCGTGCGAGCCCTACCCCCGCCGCCCGTCGGGTTGCCTGAATCGCTGATGGGCGAGGGCTGGGCTTCGAATTTCGCCGTCGAAGTCCTGCACCAGAAGACTCTGTCCGTCCAGAAACGCGTCCACCCTGCAGAGGCTGAGCATCCGCTCGTCGGCCTCGTCCGGCTCGCGCGGCCCCTCCCCCGCGTAGATCTCTGCTCTCTTCATGGGGGGCTCCGCAAAGTCCCTGCCGAATCTGTTCAAGAACTGCTCGATGTCGACCCTGTGCCCGCCCGACTGCATCCCGCCCAGCAGCGAATTCAAGAAGGCCGACCCCTCCCAGATCTCCGGCGAGCGCACCATGATGGTGCTGAACCTTAGAGTGGGCCCCGGAAGCGGCAAGGCCGTTCACCGTTTCCGAAAAATCGTCTTGAAAATGAAAAACGGCTACACAACGGCGACCGGAAACGGCAAAAGAAACAACTCCAGGAATGGATTCGGAGCCGGGACAAATAAAACAACGGCGACGGAACTGGTCCAGAAACGGCGTCGGATCCGGCAATAAAAAGGCAAGACGGAACCGGTAACAAAAACTGCCCTGTCGCTTCGGCGGTGGAAGCAAACCACCCTTTAGTGAAAACGGCCTGTGGGGCCGAAACCGACAGGCCTGGACCCGCAAAAAGTGACGGCCGCGACGGCCTCTCCCGAAGCGAAAACGGAGCAATTCGCTAATTAATGGTCTATCAACCTCGGATCGTTCACAGGGCCCACTGAGTGCTGAACACCTCCAGGACCTCGTACCTGGCCGCGGGGCAGTGCGCGAGCAGCCCCGTCAACGCCAGCTCGACCAGCTCCATCAGCCTGCGCTCGTCGTGCGACTCTTGATGAGCCTGGGCCTGCTCTTAGGTCGGGCGTGTCCCCCCACAGGCGGACGAACCATTCAAAAATAGTCAAAGAATATTCAAAATAGTCAAGAATGGTAGAACAATCGTCCCATGGCTTTCTTTAAAACTATGTTTGAATACTCTTCTTGTAGAGGGACACGCCCGACTTAAGCCTGTGCCCTGATCGCGAACTCAAGGATTGGTTTGACGACGGCCATCGGCAGGAGCTGCTCAAAGCATGCGGCCACGAAGCTGCTCTGCACCAACCTCTCCTGTGAGACGATGCAAGACGGTATCGTGCGGCTCACCACGGAGGCAAAGGCGGCAATCTGCTCGACAAGCATGTGGCCTCTGACGACCAACCGATCGGCGAGTTTCTGGTCGGCACGCTTCACCAGGTGGGGCGACGTGGCGAAAAGGTGCGCCGCGTATCCCTTCAAGAGGTAGCAGGCCACCGCGCGCACTCTGCCCCCTGGCCTGCCACCGTCGGGCTCCCACTCCTCGTGCAGCTGCGAGGGCGGCATCTCCAGCGACTCCGTCATCAGGCGCAGGAACTTGGCCGCCACACAGCAGTCCAGCGGGTCGCACGCGCACACCGCCGCCAGCAGTCCTCAGCGGTGCACTGAACTATCAGGGACACGCAAGACTTCGGTCCGGGGGACTCGGGCTGGCCTGACGGGGGCGTCAAGGAACTGATTAGGCCGCGTCTGGAATGATACGCGAGCTCCCCCTACAAACGTCCCAAGAACACTGGACCGTCAAAATCATGACAGGCCCGTCAGCAGAACGTCGGCAGACTCGAGTTCCAGCGAGCTCGAGCCTTACGTTTCTCAAGGGGCCCAGGAAGACACAGACAGAAAGACACAAGTTAGAGGATCCCCCACACAAGATTTCAGTAGCTTCTGGACTTTCGTCCTCCCCTCCAGTCCCCTGTCTTTCTTTGATTTTTGTTTTGCGAGCAGGGCGGCACGGAGCTAAAATGCATGGTTGGTGCGTCCGAGCAGCAAGAAGACCTAGATGCGTGAATTACCAGACCTGCGCACTGGATGAGAAGCAGGAGTCGGCAATCTGCCGAGCACGCAGCTCAGCAGGCAGCGCCTCGGGCGGGCTACCGACGGAAGCTCGGGAAAGCTGTCGACTGAAGCTCGCTGAGGCGCCCCCTCTCGGGGGCGGCCAAGAGGGGGGCGTCCAAGAGGGGGAGGCGCAAATCATGGCCAGCGGCATGCGCGCGGCCCAGGGGGGCCAGGGACACAATGAAATAAGAAGAGGCGCCAGAAGATCTGAGGCATTATCATGGCCCACGCCCTGATATCCCCCCCCTAGTCATCACCCCCCTCTTTTCGGGGGCGCGCAAACATGGATTAGCTCCGCGCGGATTTCGTGGATCTGCGTTGGCGCAGGGAAGGCGCCGGAGGCGCCGCCCTGGGAGGCCCCAGCGCAAATCCAAGGAATCCGCGCGGAGCGCCAAAAGTGTATGTTCATGGCGTTTTTTCTTCGATCCATCCCGCGCTCCTTCTCTTCCCTCGCGATCTACTGACTTGGGTCCATCCAGACCCAGATCAGTCGAGCTTTGCAGGATCCTGCAAGATCCTGCAGAATCCTACACCCAAGCCCGGATCAATGCGACCCTGGCTCTGCAGGATCCTAAAAGATCTGGCGCTCTCACTGACCCCCATTTGCATTGACCACCGTCTCTTGAGCCTCGACCTCTTCCCTTGTCCTCCTTTTGCACAGATTTTCTGTCTCACCTAGGGACAATGAAGGCCCTCGGCTGTCCAGATACCTCGTGTGGCGCTTGTTGCCCTTCTCCAGCCTCCCTCGGGGCACCCTGGCACAGTTTACCACCTACGCCACCGAGGTGCCTAATCCGAATCGACCGAGATCGCCAAACAAATCGCCCAGGGAGGTGAGAGGAGGAGGAGGAGGAGGAGGAGGAGGAGGAGGAGGAGGAGGAGGAGGAGGAGGGGGAGGGAACCAGAAGGCATTGAACGCTCATGTCTCTTCGCGCTTCCGCTGAACGCTCATGTCTCTTCGCGCTACCGCCCGAGGTGCTTGCACAGCCGGTGAGCGAGGCGGGAGGCGGTCCGAGGCGAGCGAGACCCGCCCCCGGGAGATCCCGGGACCGAGTCGACGAGTGGGATGGCCGATCGAACCGAATCGCATCGGAACGAGTCGCATCGGCGGGCATCGGCAGGCTAGCAGGGCCTCCTCCGGGAGACCGCAGTCCAGATCGGAAGCCGAATCGAGGCGGAACAACACCGGATCGAATCGGACCGGAGTCGAAAGGAGCCCCGCCCCCGGCCCTCCTCGCCCCGCCCCGTTCTGCTCGACATTCCTCAGCTCGGCGGCGAGCCTGGGGCGGGAGTGAGAGGGAGCGGGCCTTCTCAACAGGCTCGGACGTTCTCGGGCCTCCTGAGAGGTTATCTGAGCCTTCCACGCAGGCACATAGCGCTTCTCATACAGCTGGGGCCAGGCTTCAAGAAACATTCCGCAAGAAACCATCCACAAGAAACCCAACCCTGAGACCCCAGGACGTCCATTGATTCCAGTGTGGGAACGTCACGATTTCCAAAACAAACCACCGAAACCCAAGACACCCAGGGCACCCTGGAGGCAAGCAGGGTGTTTCTTGACATGGGCCTCCACTGTAAGGCGAGGGCTTCCGAGAAGCCCCGCTGCCTTCTGAAAAGGCCTTCTCCTCCTCACTTCCCCCCTTCCCTCGCCGCCGATCATAGGCCTCCTCGATGGGGTCCGAGTAGATAGGCTCGGAGGATCGCGCCGCAACGCCACTGCATCGGCGATGCATGATCGCTATCGGCGATGCATCGGCGCCATCGGCGTGGAGAAAATCAGGCTCCACATTGAGCCGCTTCGCCGATGCGTCGACGATGCGGCGCGACCCTCCGACCCCATCTGTTCCGACCCCATCTGGGAGGCCTAGAGATCAGAACGTGTGACAGCGCCAATAAGTGCTGGTCCACCCGAGGTCCCTCGACACGACGCAGGCGGCTCAGGGAAGCCCGACGCACGCTGCGCGCTGTCGGCGGAGCCGAACGGGGTAAGCACACACACACACACACACACACACACCCACATTAAGACGAAGCCAGGATGTGGAAAAATCCGAGTGAGGATAATCAGGAATCTCTGAGACCCGGCGGCTCTGGAGGATGCATCGGGCGCCGCGGTCTTCTCAAGGCGATCCGGGACACTCTGAGCGCGTTCCGGAATGCTCCCTGGAACTGACTTATCCTCATCCTGGCCCCGCCCGACACACACTGGGCTAACGCACGTCCTGAGGATCATCGACTGTTCTGTGCGCCGCCGGCGGGTCCCGCGACCGTCACCTTGTGGCGGACCGAGGCCACGGTGGCCTGCTTGAGGCGATCGTGGCCGGACGTCCGCAGCATCACGAAGAGGCCCCGCAGCGCCGCCGACACCAGATACGCGGGGTTGATGGAGCCGTCCGCGCGCCACAGGCTGTCCAGCTGCTGCCTCTCGGCCGCCTGGACGGCACCCACGCCCTGGAGGGGCTGCCTGCGCACGGGCTCCTCGCCGGCGTCCCAGTCGAGGAGGGACTTCATCAGGTACCGGCGGTCCAGCCGCTCGTCTTGCAGGTCCCCCTCCTCCTCTCGGCCCGCGGCCGCATGCAAATAGTGTCAAGTCGGGCCTGTCTCCCTGCAGGCCGATTTGGGACGAAAAACTAAACATACCCAACAAATGCCCTAAATCATTCAAAAATTGTCAAAACATCGTCCGCAGACTATTTGTTGACTATTTTCAATACTCCTCCTGTAGAGGGACAGGCCCGACTTGAAAGCAGTGAGGCCACGGACCGGCGTGACCCATGGCGCGCGGCTTGGCGGCGGCGGCCTACGGTGCGACGGCGGCCTGCGTGCCTGGTTCTTGAGGGGGGGTCAGCACGGGGGACGGGCCGAAGGGAAGGTCGGCGGCGAGCGAGGGGGGGAAGTGAGAAGCAGAGGGCCTTCTACGAAGGCAGCGGGACTTCTCAGAATCCCCCGCGCCCTCTGAGAGGTCTCTTCCTGTCTCCCGTGGGATGGCTCGGACGACTTCTCACAGAAGGCCGGGGACCTCCCAGCCTTCTGAGCAGGCCTGCCCCGCGCACTTCCCCCCCCCCATCGCTCGCCGCCGCGACAGACTCCCAGACCCGAGAGGCAGCGGGGATGCATCGCTGAAAACCTGGCAGCCGGCCCGTCGCAGCAGAGCCACATGCGCTCCCGGGCGGGGCGGGGCGCCCGGACGCCGGCTGGCGAGGCACGGACGGGCCACTGGGGGTGGCTCCCCCCCCCCTTCGGGCCAGTCCCCACTCCGTCCCCAGACCTTGGTCCTAGAAACGCCGGGGGTGTGGTTTTTCCCAACCATCCTGTGGTGTTGGGTCCTCGTTTTGAAGAGACGGTGCCCCGCGTCTCCTCTCCTTCCTTCCTTCCTCCCTCCGCCCCCTCCCTCGTCACCGCACCCAATTTGGCACACCCCTCACACGTTTCGTGGCCCCATAGGGAGCTCCACCGAAGGCCCCAGTGGCTGCGTTCGCATGGCGGCGCCGCACCCATTTCGGCACACCACTTACACGCTTCGTGGCCCCATAGGGAGCTCCACCGAAGCTCCCAGTGGCTGCGTTGGCATGGCGGCGCCGCACCGAAGAAGATGTTCACTATTGCGGTACTCACAGCTGCATATGGTTGGGTCCTTTCGCCAGGCTAATTTCAAGATCGGCGTTTTTGTTTTTGTTCCGTTCTGGTTGCCGGTTGTTGTGTGGAGGTTGGAGCCGTTTTGGCCACCGTTTTGTTTCCCTTTTAGTCGACCGCAACCAGAAAAATTGAAAACGAATGATCCCAGCGTGCGACGGGATGTTTGTTACGCTGTCTCGGCCTCTGGGGTCCCCTCCTGGGCCTCGGGGCCGTCACAAAGCGACTCAGGATGAAAAAAGCATGTCCCAGGGAATGATCGAGACT